CCATGCGAGGGCCTCTGTCGTCTGAAAAGCCAACTGTGTTTTGAAGGGCCGCTTGCCGACCTCTTGCGGAAGGCAGCGAAAAAGCCATCAACCTTCTGGGTTCCTCCAACCCTTTCCTGCTCTTCAAACCTGTCGCCCACCCAGACACACACCCGCATTCTCTTTGAGAATTCTGGGTGCGGAGGCTTGTGTTTGACACAAGTGGAGACAAACGCAAATCACCGTCCTCCAAACTACCATCAAGCAGAAGGCTCTTCAAACATAAAACTGCAGAATTGTCCATGTGCCTTTAACTTCCATTTGGCAGTCTTTTCTCTCTCAGACCCTCCACACTCGCACGAACCGGCACATGGCTCTGCACAATACCCGCACCGGAGCAGAAGCTCGGCCCACTACTTGCACAGATGTCATGGACAAAATGCCGCCAGTGACGTTTTTGACTGGAGTGTTGTGCGACCAGGAACTGGCAAACGCCTCGCATGCGACTAGGACTCTTCTGTCTGGTGGGTGTGAAGGCAGCTCCAAGCTGAGCTGTGCGAAGACAGAAGGTCTGTTCGAAGGTTCTACAGAAAGCAGGTTCTGCAGAAGCTTTGACAGTCTTGTCTTCTGAAGCCGACCTCCACTTCACCGCTGTTCTCAGCTCTGGCACCAGGCGTTCTCCTTTTGCGGATTCTGGCACAAATCCGACGGTTTCTGCCAGCAGGACCCATGGTGATGCATCCGTCTTGCCAATATGCAGTCATTAGCAAAATTGCGGATATCGGAGATGGAAGGAAAGTCTCTGAGGTCTGCGGCGTTAAACGCCGCGACTACGAAAAATGGCTTGGTGGTCTTTCACTGGCACTCGTCTAAGTCAAAACATCTCAGCTGCCCTGCAGGAGGATAACAGCAATCCGCGTTTTTTGCCCGAAACCATCCCGTTCCACATCTGCTGTTTGTCACGGGTCCCAAGTCAATCAAAACCACGGATACGGTTGGATCAACACGAACCAATCCGTGAAAGTCAAAAACGTCCTAGCGGCGACACGAAACGTTCGACGCGACATGGGTTTGAAGGCAAGGTTGTACCTTTGTCGTTCTGAAACGGGTCAATGCTTTTGCGAGCCCATTGGAGACATCATAGTCTTAGCTCTGCTTTCACGTGCAAGCTTGTTTAGATCAGCAACGGACAGCTTAGCCTGCTGCAAAGATTTCAATTCTCGTCTTTGCGTGGAAGTGGACTTTCTACGCATACGGACCTGTAAGCTGCACTTATTAGTTGCAACCTTGGTCTTTGCGTGTTCTGCGCTGTGGAGAGTGCCGTAATTTTCCATGGAGCCAATGTGCAAGCTCTCTCTGGGGAGGGTGTTCCAGCACTCCCTCTGTAGTCGCTACGAGGCTAGTTAAGACACAGGCTAGAATTCGGTACTTGGAGGGCCTGTCGATTTTGAAGGACTCGCAATCTTAGGGGCTCTAAAGTGCTTGCAAAACGGGCGCGCGTGGCATCGGAGGCGCTTTGAGGACGCGAAGGGCGCTCGCGAGCTGTTTGGAGGCGCGTTTGGTGAGCGACGCGCGCTTGCGCGCGCGAGTCTGTTCGGCGCGGAGGGCTTGGGGGCAGCTCTTCAGTGCTTGTCGGCTGCCGGGTTGCAGCTCTTTAGGTGCTCGTATGCTGCTGGGCTGCAGCTCGTAAGTCGCTCGTGTGCTGCTGGGTTGCAGCTCTTTAGGTGCTCGTATGCTGCTGGGCTGCAGCTCGTAAGTCGCTCGTGTGCTGCTGGGTTGCAGCTCTTTAGGTACTCGTATGCTGCTGGGCTGCAGTTAGAAAACTGCCGGGTTGCAGCTCTTTAGGTGCTCGTATGCTGCTGGGCTGCAGCTCGTAGGTCGCTCGTATGCTGCTGGCGAGTGCTCGTCGGCTGCTGGCAAGGAGCTCGTAAGCTGCTGGGGAGTGCTGGTCGGCCGCTGGCAAGAGGCGCGCCCTTAAAGTTCCTCTAAAGCCCGTTTTGCAAAGACTTTAGAGCCCCTAAGATCGTCAGAGCTGCGGGCCGTAGGCCCGCGAATCGACAGTGCTCCAAAGTACCGAATTCTGACCCATGTCTTGAACTAAGGCTTGTAGCTATCACAGAGTGGAGTGCTGGAACACCCTCCCCAGAGAGAGAAAATCGACCGAAAAACGCGCGCGAGACAGATGAGACAGCCCTGAGACAGCTTTAGTCTATTTAGAGTCTTGTCTCAGCTGTCTCGCCTGTCTCGCCTGTCTCGCCCGCCTCCAGCCCCGGCCACTTGGTTTTAGACAGGCAGCGGAAAGCCCGCTTCTCTCAGCGCTTCTCGGTGCTGCTCAGTCGAGCGAGCGTAGGCTTGCGGAACATAAGCTGCGAGTGCCCACATGCTGCCCTGGTGTGGCTCCACCATGTGATAGCGGCGAGCATTGAAGCTGACGGGCTTGTCGTGCATGTCCAGCCACCTACCCGGCAGCTCCCGGTCACCCTTCTTGCCGGCCAGCATCGCGGTAGAGTCGCCCTCGTCGTCTTCGATCCACACTCGCCCCCCGGTGTAATCGCCGAGAGCCAAAGCATGATTCAAGTGCCCTGGCATGTTCTGAATGTCACGGTGCAGGCCCATGCGAGGGTTGAAAAGCACGGCGATGGAGGTCCAGGTGCCGTTCGGAAAGCGGCTCTTCAAGAAGCGGTTCACTGCAGTGCAGGCCGCTCGCTTGCTCGTTGCGTTGGAAACACCGCACACCCCCCCGTGCCCGAAGAAGCCCAGCGTGCAATACTTCTCGAACGCTCCGGGTCCCACGACGCGGGTGCGCACTTGATGCTTCCAGTCCGCCGACCACAGATCCAGCAGCCGCACGAGATTGGCTTCGCTGGGCTCCTCCGTGGCGTTCCGGCACGCCAAATCCATATTTTTACATTGCCAGCATTTATCACTCCAAACACGCATGCCTCTAAAACACCATGCCGCACCCCAATTTTTTCGGATTTTGAAGCCGCCCGGGGAGGGTGCGCCCCGACGGCCCCCCAGCGCCGGCCGTTTTGCGAGCCGACCACGCACCGGCGAGAGCTCGATTTCGCCCTGTGCCACGCCTAGCATTTGAGCACGATTTCGGCCGGATCGGGCCTTTCCTGTCAGATCGGTGCCGGCAAGCCGGAACGTGGTCCGGGGGGGTTTAGGATGGGTCGAACACAGCCACACGGAATCGCCGGGCATCACGGAACCGCCGCGGCCCCGATCTTCGGGGTGCGCCCTGCCTATGTTTCACACACCCTGCCGGGCCCGCCGGCCAGAAGCGACACAGCCAGCCTCGGGAAGGCCCGCGCGTGGCCCAAAAGGCTTTGCCGGGCCGTTTCACACCAGACTGTGGCGAGATCACGATTTCGGTGGGTACGTCCCCTAGGTTTGGCTCAAGGTTTCGTGCCTGCGGGCGTTCAGTGTCGATTGGCGGCGAGCCTGTGGCTATCGTCGACCTGATCCGTGGGGGGTTTAGGATGCAGTCTCACCAGATGCTCGGTGCTGCTCGCCTTTGCTCACTGATGCCATTTCGTTTTGATTTGTAGTGGTATTCTAGCTAGGCCCGCCGACTTTTGCAGTAACATTTTGCTAGAGTGCTTTCGCCTGGGGTTGCTTTTGGTTTGGTTCAGGGCACCCTAACCCCTTTGGCCCCGTGGTAGGCTTTGCTCCCCGGCTGCCCTGTGAGTGCCCTGCCGCCCTAACCCGTAGGCACCTTTTCCCGCATCCCTGCACTGACTTTGCTCCGCGCCGCGGTTCACCAAGCTAGGTCCGTACACATGAGCCACGCTTCGTGTAACATGTAAGGGGCGGCAGTATAGCAGCACAGCATCTAGGAGGCGGCACACACGTATAACATGCAGCAGCTGGAGTAGTTCTGCCCCCTGACATTCTGAGCCATGGCTAACCCGGGGCATGGACAGCTGGCGCCGGGCGAGGGAATTATCCAGATAGAGGACAACGAGTCCAAGGTGTGGGAAGTGCCGGTCAGCTTGGAGTGGTGGAATGCTTTGTCGCCGACCCAGCAGTTGGAGTTTGCGGTGACCCTCCAGGCGCAGTTCAACAGGGGCGGAGGTCACGATGGTTGCATTAATTTGTGCCGCGACTGCGTGCCGCAGCCGCAGCTGCCAGTCGAAGCCGAGATCGAGGGCGAGAAGGAGGATGATAAACCCAAGGCCGAGGGCAAGAAGAAAAAAAAGAAGGACAAACGCAAGGCCGAGGGCGAGAAGAAGAAACCAGAATCCGAGCTGGACACCATGGACTAGAGTCTCACTGCATCGGCGCAGCGTGAGGGTTTTTAAAAACAGTGACCCGAGTGCGTTTTCCTTTGTGCGCAACATGTCCATGCCATGTTTCCTTGCCTGCTCGATCTTGATCTGCCGCACTGCAGCATTTTGCTTCTTTTCCTGGGGGGCAAGGGCTTCCCATTTGAAGCGGAAGGCGCGCGCGCCTACAGACCCCTTAACCCTATCAACCCTCCTTCGTGCCCCCCTTTCTGCCAGGTACTTGACCTTCCCGCTCAATTCGTTGCCTGGGCCTCAGCTTTGCAGTTAAGGGTTTCTTCTTCGGATTTCGGTGGGTTTTTGTTTTGCGGGGGTTCGTTTGTCTGTGCGAGCGCCTTTGTGTGTCTGTAGCCTTGCCTCCCTTGCGACTCGTCCCGCCAGGTGCCTGGGCTCTCGGCAACTCGAGCGTCTGGGCCTCAGCTTCGCAGGAGTTTAGGGTCGTTGCTTTGGGTTTTGTTGGGGGTCTCTTTCCGGTTTGTGGCTGTTGTGCCTCGTCCGTGCGCGCGTAGGAGGGTGCTGCACTCTTGTCCCGCCAGGAGCCCGGCGCCGGCGCCTTTCATCATCAATTCGACTGTCTGGCCCTCGGCTTCGCAGTGCCTCCCGCTCCGCTGTCCCCACCCCTCGCCTCTTGTTTCAGGTGCCCTTCTCTGCTTCTTTGACTCCTCGCTGTGCCTGTGCCTTTGTCCCGCGGCTTCCGTTGTGCTGGTCGGTGGGTCCTTGCCCCTTCAGGTGATGAAGAACATCCTTAAGAAGGCCTCGGTGAGCTTCGGGGCCCTGGATAGGTTCACCAAGAAGGCTGGGGATAGGGCGCGGTGGATGTTGAACGTGTTGCGAGCCTTGTTGTTCAGGAGCCGTCCGAAAGCGAGGTCGGCGATGGCCCAGAGGCACGTCTTGGGTTTTAAGAGTCGTTGTATCACTCCTGTCCATTGCCAGGCCCCGGCAGTCTCGAGCTCCCAGGCTCCGATGGATCAGGACGCTTTGTTTGCTCTTAGCGCAGTGTCGGTATCCAGACCTTGTGTGTTGTGCAGGACTTGCAGAGCGCTGACGGCGCAGAGGAGCGCCCTGCCATGGAGCAGGAGGGTTTTTTTTGGTTGTGCTTCGACAGCTAGCTACATTCCGTTCAGGATGCAGTGGAGGAGCAGCAGTTCCGGCCAACGGGGGAGGTCCGGCGCTCCGGTCTTGGGTGTTTTTTTTTACAAGCCCTGGCGATCTCACTCAGGATGCAGTGGAGCAGCAGGTCCTGCCGACGGGGGAGGTCCGGTGCTGCGGTCTTGGGTGTTTTAGCTCTGGTGATCTCGCTCAGGATGCAATCCGGATGGTTGAGAGGGTCGTCGCTGGCTTTCGGTTCGAGATGGATGAGGCCGAATACAACGGCGGCACCACCATTATGCAGCTCTGCGAAGGCCAGAGCCTCAGGGCAGCGCTGCAAGCCTTGTTGACGGCTGGAGAAACCGCGGTGGCCGCGATTGATTCGCATGATGACATGTACCGGGTGACCGGGTTCGATGACGTCAAGAACGTTGTCTTCCTGGCTGGCGGCGGCGGGTCCGAGGATCTCTCGGAGATCTCCACCCTGTACTGGGACTGGGGGACGACGTGGGCCGCGGAGCAGGCCGGCTTCAGCGATTCGGTTCTTCGTGAGTCCCGCCCCCTGGCGCAGGCCTCGGAGATGGAGGAGCCCGATGCCGCAGCTGAGCCGGCGACGGAGCAGGTGGGAACTCTTCGGGTGGGGGGGTTCGATTCTTCTTTGCTTGCCCCGGTCCCACTCAGGCCCATGCGGCGGGGAAGCCGGGCGATGATGTCGCGGCGCCGGCCACGGAGCAGGCTCGGCCACCAGACCTGAGACACCTGAGACAAGTGAGACAAGAGCAAAACTAGACTAGAGGCGTCTCAGGTCTGTCTCATTTGTCTCATCTCGTCCCATGTGCATTTTTGCGTCAAAAGAAGCCCAGAAAACGAGCATGAGACACATGAGACGCGGCTGAGACACCACTAGTCTAGTTTTGCTCTTGTCTCAGTTGTCTCGCCTGTCTCATCCCCCCCGGCCCCGGACCCCCTTGACCTTCGCCTCCTTGACGGTCAGGTGGCAGCGGACCTCACCGAGGCGATGGCTTCGGCTGACGATGCGCAGGCTCGGTCGAGGGCTTGCCGTTGCCGTCTGTGTGTGCTTTGCTCGGATCTCCGGCTAGGCCGCAGTGAGCGCTTGGGCGGATGTGCAGAGCGCCGCCGCGCTCGGCGCCGATGCTGTGGCCGAGCAGTTCTCGTCCTACATGTGCCGGCGCTTCGACACTGACGCGCGCCGCGACGAGGAGCTGCGGGCGATGATGGACCGGGCGGGGACCGAGGACTGGAGGTGTGTTGCAGCTTGGTCGTTGCTCTGCTCGGCAGATGGGGAGCTGGCGGTGCACCTGCAGCAGTTCTGCAACAGCAGGGCTCAAGGGTCGCGGACTGCTGCGCTGATCCTCCAGCGCCTCATGAAGGCATCGGGCGCAAAGCAGTGGCAGAACATCAGCCTCCACACGGCCCGGACGCTCGCAGGCGTGTTGCCTTCGCTGATCAGGGATTCGGATGAGGAGAGCGATGAGGGAGCGCGCCGAGGCATTAAGCGCACTGCTGAGGAGGCGGAGATCGTGGAGGGCCCGAAGGTCACGGAGGAGATTGCGGAGGAGGCGAGCGTCGCGGAGGGCCCGAAGGTCCCGGAGGAGATTGCGGAGGAGGCGAGCATCGCGGAGGGCTCGAACATGCCGGAGGAGATTGCGAGCGTCGCGGAGCCCATCGGTGAGGTCGGAGCAGGTGACGCCGTAGATGATGACGAGCGGGACGCCAAGGTCGAAGAGGCGATGGAGTGCGAGCTGAGGGAGCACCGGAAGGCCATCGATGAGCTCCTGTCGTGTGCAGACTTCATGAAGGACGAGCAGATGGAAGATGATCACCTGGCGGAGGACGTGTCGACCTCGCCGACTGCCTTCGTCCTCTTCGACCACGTGAATGCCACGGCGATGAACCTTTTGGCCTCGAAGGAGCTGTCCAAGATCCATCGCTTGGGGCGCACGGGGCCAACGGTCGAGCGAGCCTTGGGAGACATCCTGGTGCAGTGCAGCAAGAATGTGCTTCCGGGAGGCGCCAGAACCTACAAGACCATCTACCACGAGGAACAGCTGATGGCTGATCTCAAGGTCAAGGGCCGCCGTCACCCTGGCAAGCCAAGCAAGGAAGAGGTCGCAGACTTGAGGCTGGTCGACCCCGGCGTGTGCTCCGGCCATCTGGCGGCTTCCACCTTCGTCTTTCCTCGCTGGTTTCGGAACTTGTGCTGGGCGGGGCTGAAGGATCACTACACGTTCGACCTGGCCAACGCCCACGTGTGCATCCTCGCGGAGCGCCACGACAGCGAGTTCCTCCGGGAGTTCATCTTGAATCGCCAGGCGCACCTGCAGTCCACTCACAGTGAGAGGTGGATTGCCAAGCAGCTCTTCCTCCGCCTCCTCTACGGAGGCACGGTGCAGGCCTGGAAGAGGGCCCACGGCGTGGACACGATGAGCTCCGAGGCCTTCTCCTACGCAGAGCGCTTCGCCGCGGAGGTTGATAAGCTCCGGGACCTGGATGTGGAGAGAAACAAGGAGCTGTGGGAGGCGCTGCGCTCGCTCTCCCCTCGCCCCGAAGACCTGTTGTCGTACGTGCTGAACACCAGGCGAGAGAGACAGCTGATAGACCGTGCCGAGATGATGATCAAGACCCATGGCGGCACGGTTTTGGCGTACGAGCATGATGGGCTGTACTTGCACGTCCGACCGGGGCGCAAGGCAGAGCTCATGAGCGCCCTCGACAACGGGCTCGACGGGTTCAAGTACACCTTGGAGCCCCAGCTGTCAGTGGAGGAGGCGTTCGAGGAGGCCCGGCGCGAGATGGTCGATGCAGGCGGTCACAGCAGCGAGACCCGGGCGCTCTTCATGGCTGAGGATCCGCAGTGGAGGGAGCATCACAAGTTTGTGATGACGGCGTTCAAGTCCCCGCGTGGCCATCACGGGTTGTTCGCCCAGGTCGCGCTGCGCTCGCCGGCCGTGCACTCCCTGGTTCCCCATCGCATCCAGGAGGTCTTCAAGATCGTGCAGGACACCGGGCATTGCGCATGGTACAATGCCCCCAAGAGAGTTTGGATCCTCGGCGGCACGATGGCCATGGACGTGCTGAAGTGGATGGTGCAGGTGGTCTGCCAGCGCGACCTCTCGGACTACGTCGTGCGCTGGGACACAGAGTCCCAAGTGGACCTGGACGTCGACGCCGCCTGGGGCTTCAGCAACGAGACCTTCCGCACCAGCGTGGCGAACGCCATGAAGAGCTTCTTGGGTGTGCACAGCACGGACTGGGAGCTGGACGGCGACAAGACCCGCCGCTACCTGAACTTCCAGGGCCGCCTCTTCGACCGGGGATCGATAGACATGCACCCGGACCACTGCATCACGCGCTCGACCGACTGGGCGCATGAGTGGCCTGCATGGTGGGGCTCGGACGCCCAGGATCGGCTGGAGGCTGCCCTCCGCGAGGTCAGGAAGCAGCACGACGCCTTCAGAGCGTCGAAGCAGAGTGGGCCGTGCGACCTGGATGAGAAGGCCTGCGAGATGCTTGAGCTTGCAGCTTGCGCCATCCGCGAGCTCGCCGTGCTGCACAGGTGGACGGAGAATGATTGGGGCGCCACCGTCCTGGAGCTGGAGCTGATCGCCAAGGGCGTGTTTGCAATGCCCCAGGCAGCGGGGATGTGGCTTCGCGGAGTCGGAAGGAATGGGAAGGACACCCTGGCGAACATCATGGAGTGCATCCTCGGCTCCTACTCCTGCTCGATCGACTTCGACTCCCTGCTGCGCGTGGCGGACCCCAACAAGCCGAGCCCGGTGTGGGCGATGTGTCGCGCGAGGAGATTCGTGGCGATTCGCGAGGTCGACGGCGTGGAGCAGATCCGGCTTCAGGTGTATAAGCGGATGACGGACCCCAACAGTCAGATGATGGGGCGTGACCTCTACGAAAAACTTGTGAGGTACAAACCTCAATTTGTGGCCTTTTTCGCCAGCAACCATGCGCCGCCGTTGACGTCGGAGTTCTCGGTGAAGGAGCGCTCGTACATCATCGAGCACGTCTCCGTCTTCAAGGACGTCCCCACCGAGTCCAACGAGCGCAAGTGGGAGCCGATCGAAGACACCCTCCAGCGCGACCGCCCCTCGTACTTCGCCATCCTGTTCCTGATCTACAAGCACCTCCTGCATGGTGTGAAGATGCGCTCGATCGGCCCCGTCCCGACTTCCTCCCACAACCTCTCCGTGATGGAGCTGAAGGATGCCACGAAGGAGCTGGTGAGGAAGTTCATCAAGGAGAGATTGATCAAGGCGCAGGGCACGGCAAAGGCCACAGTCCGGGATGAGATCTACGAAGAGCTGTCGGAGGTGCTGAACAACAGCCCGGAGATCCTGGCGGATGCGCACCAGAAGCGGCGAAAGCTGAACCCCGCGGACCTCTTGAAGGCTGAAGGGTTCGTTGAGAAGAAAGGCAAGGGCCCTGCGGACAGCAAGGGCAAGCGGCCGAACGTGAACCTGATCTACTACCGCTTCGCGGACTCGAACGGCGTGAAGGCGCTCGACGACAGCCCGGCGCACCTGCTCCCGGCCAGCGCTGCAAGGACGAGTGTCATCGCATCGGCGCTTGGCGCCGTGAGTAGCTGAGTGGTAGCCTGGCAGGTCCACCCTCCTTGCATAGAGACAGATAGCGCAGTATATGTTTTCCATGCCTAGGGGACCGCCCCGCGAGCTTCGGGTCGTTTTTCTTTGGTTCAATGCATATACAGGTCTAAATCCTTGTTTTGAGTCTGCCTTATAATATATAGTCTTGCTAGGAGACCCTAAACTTGCGGAAAGGGCGTGAGTGGGGCAAGGAGGGTGACCGGGGGGCTTGGGCCCGGTCTGGCCAGTCTGGATGATGATCCCAGTGCACAGGGGACGCCCCGACGGGGCCGACCGGCCGACGCTGCACAGCATCGAGGGAGTGACAAATAAATAACCGACGGCCGTGGAGTTCAAGTGTTTGCATGTCGTTCTGTGTGCGCAGCATGCTTGAGGACTGAGAGTGGTTTCGCGCTCGTTTTGTCAGCGGCTCTTTGTTACCTGGGACCGGGGGCCGGATCCGATGCCGATGGCGAGGCCGCGCAGGAGTACTCGTGTCGTCATGTTTCGAAGCAGCTGCCGATCAGGTCCGTCCGAGAGGTCGCGGTCGTGCCGCGATTCGATTCCGATGGCGAGGCCGCGCAGGAGTACTCGTCTCGTCATGTTTCGAAGCAGCTACTCCCGATCAGGTCCATCCGAGCCGCGGTCGTGGCCCGCAGAGTGCATGTCGGGGTTTCCCGGTTGTCCCTAGCGCCCGAACCCTTGCCCGAGTCCCCCCTAGCTAGAACCCTAGCCCACCTCTAGGCCGCCCTGCGAGTGCCCTGCGTGTGTGTGCGTCCTTGTCTGCACCCCCGCGGTTTCCCTAAGCCTGAGCCGCCCTCAGCCCAAACCCATAGAACCCTAATCCCTACTAGGCTGCCCTGCATCGTCCCTGCGTGCACAGTGTGTGTAGGGTTCGCCGGCTAGGGGCGTCCCCCCCCGGTTTAGATAGGGCCGGTCTAGCTTTTTTTTTGGTTTCCATCCCACACCCTAGCCTGAACCTCGTTTTGATGCTCTCGATGCGATGCTCTGGATGCTCGCTGATGCTCTGGATGCTCGCTGATGCTCTGGATGCTCGCTGATGCTCTGGATGCTCCCCGATGCTCTGGATGCGATGCTCTGGAGGCGGCGCCGGCCCGGCCTGAGACAGCTGAGACAGCTGAGACAAGAGGCCAAATAGACTAAAGCTGCTCAGGGCCGTCTCAGCTGTCTCAGGCTCGCTGATGCTCTGGATGCTCCCCGATGCTCTGGATGCGATGCTCTGGAGGCGGCGCCGGCCCGGCCTGAGACAGCTGAGACAGCTGAGACAAGAGGCCAAATAGACTAAAGCTGTCTCAGGGCCGTCTCAGCTGTCTCAGGCTCGCTTTTAGCGATGTTTTTGACGAAAACAACGGCCCGCGACAACTTGAGACAGCTGAGACAGCCCTGAGACGCCTTTAGTCTATTTGGCCTCTTGTCTCAGCTGTCTCCTCTTTACTCACCCCAGCGAGGCTGCCATACAAGGGATGAGACAGGTGAGACAGGCCTGAGACGCCTTTAGTCTATTTGGCCTCTTGTCTCAGCTGTCTCAGCTGTCTCAAGCCGTCCTGACCCCCCCCTCCCCGACCGCTCCTCTTTACTCACCCCAGCGAGGCTGCCATACAAGGGATGAGACAGGTGAGACAGGCCTGAGACGCCTTTAGTCTATTTGGCCTCTTGTCTCAGCTGTCTCAGCTGTCTCAAGCCGTCCTGACCCCCCCTCCCCGACCGCTCCTCTTTACTCACCCCAGCGAGGCTGCCATACTAGGGATGAGACAGGTGAGACAGGCCTGAGACAGCTTTAGTCTGTTTAAGCTCTTGTCTCACCTGTCTCAGGTGTCTCAACCGGGTGGCGCCGTGGGCCCGGGGTTGAAATCTCTGAGCTGCCTGACCGCTAACGGCACCGGCCGCCGAGTCAGCCGTGCTTTAGGCTCCGCGGAGCCGCGAGGCACAGGAAGCGCATGCTTCAGCAGGGTCTCCGAACCGTCGGTGGCCCGCACCGTCATCGAATCATAATTCGAAACCTCCCGCCCCGTACTGGGGCTGGAAGGACCTTTGCGCATTGGTGGGGGCCCGGAACGCCCCCGCCTCCTCGAGCCGCCGCTGACGGCTCCTCGTCAACTCATCGTTGTGCTTGAACTTCGCTGCGTTGTCTTGATAGACCCGGAAGCTCGCGGCCGGCATCGTCTCCACATCCTCGGGGGCCACCGTCACCGCCGCATGCGGCCTGGCATTGTAGGCTTCCGCCGCCTCTTCCACATGGTCGCCCCAGCCCCCACCGTCCCGGGCGACCTTGCCCGCCAGATCCTTCTTCAAAGTTTGAATCGCCCGGTCCACCACCGCCGTCGCATTGCGGTCCGAGGGGTCCTTCTGCCGGTGCACCGCGCCTCCGGGCAGCGCCGCCTCCAAACCCCGAGACGAAGCCATAACCAAAAATGACCTCTCCATCGTTGCTGCCCCCGATGTTGGGCTCGATCGCCAGGTTGGCCAGGCCGTTGGTGGTGTTTAAACTTATGAACTGGAACTGCGCGTTGAGCTCGCAATTGCCGCCGGCCAGCACCTTGAGCTCCGCCACGCCCGCCTGGTTGTTGGCGTCGAGGAGCAGCTTGGCATCTCCCGTGGGCGCGGCGTTGCGCACCACGACTCCCACAGTGCCGTCCGTGGGCCCCACCGCGATCTGCTCCAGCAGTGGGCTGAGCACCTGCACGCCGCTGGTCCCCCCCGACAAGCTCAGGAAGGGCAGGCTGGCCTCGGGGCCCAGCACCCCGTTGATCCGCACGGTGTCGTCCATCAGAATGCCATTGGTGCCGCCCTGGACGGTGAGCCAGGGCGCCGCCGGATCAGAGCGCACCAGGGGCGCTTCGAGCCTGAGGTCGCTCGTGATCTCCTGCGTGGCCGTCACCGAGCTGCTGCTCGCAAAACTCCCCGTGGCTGCGGTGCTGCCGACGAAAAACTGGGCGACGTCCGCCGTGGTTGCATTCAAAGTGCGGTCCGAGCGCACGGTGATGTCTTGCTCCAAGCCGATGCTTCCGGCAGCGAAGGAGGCCACCAATGTGCCGTCTTCGGCGCGGATGGTGGTGGTGCCGTTCCGGATTTGGAGATCGGCTGCAGCGCTCTGCAGCAATGGTGTCTGCACGAAGCTTGTGGCCGTGAGGCTGTTGACGGTGAGGTCCGCCGTGGGGTCCACTCCTGGGCTGTTCTCCAGGTCGGTGACGCCCTGGCCCAACGAATTGAAGTTGGCTATCAATGGGTAGCGGGTGTCAGACTGTCCCTTGCTCCAGCAGTCGCAGCTGATTTGGAGGGTCGACCCATTCCCCAGGATGGGCTGGGCGGAGAGGGGCGATTGGCACAGGAGGTTTCTGATGATGCGAGGGGTGAACTGGGTCTGGACCAAATTGAAGATCCCACCGCCCTCTGCACCGGGGCTGTTGACGAAGTAGCGGGCATCCAAAGGTCCGAGGTCGTTGGTCCTCAGGAAGCGGCCGTCCGCCTCGGCCTTGGTCCAGGAGTCGCAGCGGAGCCGCAGCGTACTTTGATTGCCCAGAATTGCGTCGCCCACCAGGGGCGCCTCCAAAAGCAAATTGCGCACGATCCGCGGAGTGAACTGCTCCTGGACCAAATTGAAGATCTGCCCCGACTCCGCACCGGGAGCCCGCACGAAGTAGCGGAGATCTGCGTCCGCCTGGGTTTGGAAGCCCGCGCCGGCGATGGCATCGTCGATCTCCGCTTGGGTGCGCCCGCTGGTCCAGTACTGGGTGAGTGTGGCCGTGAGCAGGGAGTCCAGCTCGGTTCGGGGGTAATATGCCAGCAGCTCGTTGGCCACGTAGCTCTGCGTTTGGGCCTGGTCGTAGAAGCCCGAGAGATCCACGTTGCCCAGGGCGTTGGCTATCTCCTGGTCTACCTCCGCCCGCGTGTAGAAGTCCAGCAGAGCAGTTATTATCTTGCTGTCGACGACCCCGCTGGGGTCATAGCTCGACAGGGCCGAGGAAATGCTTGAGCTGACGGAGGCAGACGTCGCGTAGTTGGCCAGCTCTCCCGCCACGAAGCTCGAGACCTCGGCTTGGGTCCAATAAGCCAGCAGGGCCTGGTCGATCAGGAACTGCACCCCCGCAGCGTCCTGGTACTGCCCGACGTTCAGGGCAGCGATGGCATCGGAGATGGCGGTGTTCATCTCCGAAGTGCTGCTGTAAGCTCCCAGGGCATCGGCGATGGCCGTGCCCACCTGCAGCGTCGTGCTGTAGGCGGCCAGGGCGGCCAAGATCTCGTTGCTCACCCAGGCCTCGCTGGCCAGGGGAGCCAGCAGGGCGTCCGTTTCCCCTTTCGAGTAGCTGTCCACGGAGAAGCTGAGGGTCCAGTTGTCGTTGGCCAGCTGGATGCTCAGCGGCCCCGTGGCGTGCAAGTTGCGGATCTGATTGGTCCCGGCCAGCAGGTCCCAGGTCACATTCCCGGGCCAGGCCGGAGCGTTCACGAGATTGGTGGCTCCGCCGAGCGTGGCGATCTCCGCCAAGATGGCATCGATGGATGCCTGCAGCGCTGTGATCTCGCTGGGCAGGGCGAAGGGCCCCGCGCTCTGCAGCGCCAAGATGTCGGCGTCGTGGCCGTCCAGCCTGCCGTCTCTGAGCGCCAGGGCGGCGTCCAGAGCCGCCTGCTGGACGTAGGCCAGCAAAGCCGTGGCGACCCGCTGGTCCACGTCGGCGGCTGTTTGCCGGGCCGCCAGATCGATCGCCAGCTGATCGACCACCGACTTGAGGGCGTAGTTTGCCGCAACAGTCGCCAAGGTTGCGTTGTTTGTGGAGGCGATGCTGCTGTTCATCGCAGCCGTCGTGGGATGGTTGGCCAGCTTGAGGTCCACCGAAGCGGGCGTGCTCTTGGCACGTGAAGAGCATCCAGGGCCGACTGGTTGGCCTTGCCCGCCAGGCCCTGGGTCAGGCTCGTGTTCACGGCCACCAACCGGAAGCGTTGGCCACGATGGAACCCTCTGCCGCGGCGAGGTCCGCGGCCAGAGCATAAGGGGTTAGGTCCGGAGCTGCGGGCAGGGCGGCCACCTGGCCCTGCAGAGCTGCGGTGGCGGCGGCGTTGACTCCGATGGCCGCGGTGTGTGCCGTGTGCTCTGTTTGCGGGGTGTAGGCTGTGAGGACTGTGGCGAGCTGCCCGGCGGAGATGCCCTGGAGCTCGATGACCGGTGGTGCCGTGACGCCGTCGTCGAGGATCCGCCCGGTCAGGGTGGAGGGAAAGAGTGACATTTATCTAGTGCCCCCGGGCTCTGCGCCGCCGGTCCAGGCTAGCGGTGTTCGAAGAGGGCAAAAAAAGGTGAAACAAATCGCTCAAAACGCCAATATCATCAGTCAAGGACTGAGACGCCGGAGCCTGAAAGAGTGCAAATTTGGAGCGATACGAGGCCAACGAAGCACTGATCCACGCGGTCCGCGAGCATTTGCTTGAAGGTGAAGCGGCACAGGTCGCCGCTCCTCGTCGACAAACCGCTGGTGGGGTGCTTGGGTACACGCTCCGTGGGGAACGCGGCAATGAAGTGCGTGTTATCATAGTTCGGGAGGCGCATATTTCGTAGCTTTGAATCGTAGGTGCCGGCCATGATGGCGAGGAAGTGGTGGTATTCGGCGATGCTTTTGACACTGTTTCTGGGGAATTGCATGGCCCCGAGCTGCAGCTGGCCCTCCATGACCGTGGCCGCCGAGACGTTCGGGAAGGCCTCCCCTGGATATTCGAAGTTGGAAACGTGGTTCTCCCCGGTCTTGTTGAAGTGCACGAAGGCTCCCAAAAGCTTGGTAAAGGCTCGCGCGACGGTGATATTGTAGCTCGTGGAGCCCGCCGGGACCGAGGACTGCTGCACGTGGAGGCTCGGAAAGCTGAAAAGGAGACTGCGATTGGACAGTAATATGCGCTCGAAGCTCTCCCCGAGGGCACTATCAAGGGTCACCTGATCGGCCAAAAGGTGCAAATTTTCGATCTGATACGACAGACTCGAGCCCACGCCGGCGCGCATGGCCTGCTGGGGTTCGCTGAACTCTACCTCCAGGACGAGATTTAGCTGCGGCGGGAGCATCTTGCCGCAGTTGAACATGCCAAGAAGATGCGGGTGCATGAGCACATCGCGCTTTTGCCCTGGCTGCACCGGCTGCGCCCAGCCGCCGGCGTCCACCGGGAGGCCCTCCCAGTGCAGCTCCGTCCACCAGTCGGACGGCTTCAGTAGCGAATACATGAAGCAACTGCGCCCGTAGTAGCTGATGTCTTCCACCCGTTGCCCGTTGGCGAAGAGCTGGATGCGCTCGATGAAACACGAGGGGTCCGGCGAGCCGCAGAGCATGTCGCTGGAGCCGTCCGTGTTCCGGAAGGTGAAGGCCAGCTTAATCGATTCAGGATCAACGAAATCGGTCCCGCTTGTGATCGGTATACGACACACCCGCGACGTGCTTGGCGTAAAAGTGCTCAAGGACGACGGAAAGTACTGCACTGATTTTCTGGACTGAATGTAATTGGTGTTCCCTGTTTGGAGCTTGTAGTCGAGCGAGGCCACCAATTCGTCATTGACGGCTTGCGTAACCTGCTCCATCACTCTTTACATACCTATGCAGCTTCCGGTTCGCTCGCTTGACGAAGGGCGTCGAAGGACGGCTGCGTTCCCAAAGGTCCCCGGTCGCCGCGGGACTGCCGGCTGACGCGGGAGCGGTCGCTGCCGGAGGACACCGGGATCGGGATGTTGTTGAGGCCAAAAGGGGTTTGGGCCTGGGCCCTCGGCCGCCGCGCCGGGCGGGCCACGATGCGTTGCTGTGCTTGGGGCCGCGGCTCGCTCTCTGAGTCCGTGTCGATCCTGAAGACCTGGGGCTGGGTGCGCTGGGCCCGGCGCTGCTCCTGGATGAAGTAGTGATCAACTGCGCCCGAGTCTTGCATGCCGTTCAGTGTCGCCAAGTCCGTGGTTTGGCTCGGCCGCGAGGCGTCTGAGTCCGTGCCGCCTCCCGTCGCCGCGCCCCAGCCCGTGAGGGTGGAGGCCGCGTTCAAGCCTCCCTCGATGGCCCATGCGGTTCCGACCAAGGCTGCACCTGCAGCAGCCACCGCCAGCCCTCCCGTCGCCGCGCCCACGGCGCCAGCAGTCGCCAGGGCTCCTTCGCCCAGGAGCGCAAGAGCTCCTCCGCCCGCTTCCGCTGCGGTTGCTGCTTCGGCAGCGCTCGCCGCAGCCTCCGCCGCCGTGGCAAAGCCTTCCGCCGCTTCTGCCTCCGCCACCTGCTGCGACGCAAAAGCCTCGATGTCTTGGGCGGCCGCACGCTCCGCCTCCGCGGCTCTCTGGCCCGCTCGCTCGAGCAGGGGCTCCACCTCGCTGGGCCTCCCAATAATATTAGGCGGAGGGACCTGGTCCGGGGGCGGCGCCCTCCTGGAAATCCGCAGGGTTCTGTCCAGCCAGTCGCCTCCTCGGTTCAAAATGTTGAAGGTCTGGTTCTCGGCCACGCTTCGGGTCGCCGCCGCGGCGCCCGCAGCCCCTCCGGCGATGATCGCTTCCGCGGCTTGAATGCCTGATTCCCTCATGCGGCCTCCGAGGCTCGGCGGCCTCGGTGCATCGAGCCCGTTGCGCAGGGCCTGCCCTGGATCCATGCCTCCGTCGTCGGAGTCTGGCAGGAAGCTGGGCCGAGTGAACTCTCTTGGCGGGCGGGGGAAGGGGACTCCGTCGTAGCCCTCGTCGGCCGTTTCAAAAGCGGCTGCGGGATTCAACTGGGTGTGGGGTATCGGTGCATCGCTGATGGGCTCCGGAGCATTGGGGTAGTCGTCTAGATACCAGTGCGAGGCGGTGTAGATGCTCGCCTTGCGGTTGGGAAGGGGAATGTCGAGGGGCTCGCCCTCAGCTATGTAGCCGAGGACCAAGCACCCCGGCTCAAGTTGTTTTGTGCGAGTGGTGGGCGTAGTTTTGGGTAGATTTTGCCATAGGCGCTTCCAGCTTCTCTTTGCCTCTGGAGCGTCTTTTTCATTCTTCTGCATAGCTGGCAGTGGCTGACACGCGTGCTACTTCAAGTTGCTCTACGGCCGCGAAGACTAGTTTTCTGCTTGATTTGGCCAAGCGCTGCTTTCTGCTTTGCATTGCATGAGATTTCTTATTTGGTGGGCGTTTTGTTTTATTCAGACATGGACGACGCGGACACAGAATCATACAGAAGCGCAGACGTTGCCACATTGCCTGACTCACAGGCCTCTCTTGACTCTGACAGAATGGATGATACCAGTGACCTCACTCAATTATACGCCTCGCATCCGGTATCTACAGAGCAATCAGGGATATCAGAGACAGCAGAGGTTGCTTCGGCGCAGCGCAGCGCAGCGCAGAGCGGTCCGATCTGGCGTCGGCCCCTTTCGGCAGCCATTACTCAACAATCCTTCGTTGATTTCCTGCGTATCACGGAGGTGCCGTTATGGGCGGTCGTTGACTTTGGGACGTACCATTACTTCCAGCAATACACATCTGCTGGAGCAGACAGGGCATCAGAGCTTGCGCAATTGCTGTCTGAAATCCGGGGATATGACATTTCGGCTACGATTGAGTTCTTTCTACTCTTTCTTGAAGGGGTTCATCTGGAAACATTCTATGAAGATCTGTGCTTGCAGATTTACTGGTCTCTTCGTAGAGGATCACACGGACAAGGTCTCCTGGAATCATTCCTTTATACCACCACGGGTAGTCATATTGACTCCACATGTGATTCGGAAGTACGACCAGCATGCGCTTCGGCCACAACACAGACGATCATTGATGTTCTGGATTCGCCAATCTCCATCGCGGGAGGGAATGCAGGCACGCTTTCGCAGCTTTCGATGGAATGCCACACAGATTTTTCCTCAACTATTGAAGATTGCACATCCAGTATGCCGGAAGATGAAGCCGACGATTTATCAGCGGAGACTGCAGTATCGCAGCTCGTGCATGGAGTGGCGCTTCGATCTGATATCTTGCATTTCTTGCAAAGGCGACCTTCAGAAACACTCGACGATGGACAGCTGGCTCTGTATTTGCAGTTTCGGGGTATCTCCTTCGACTTCGTTATGGATTGGGGCACTTTCTTTTACCTCCGGCAATATGATTACGAAGGCGATGCCCAGTGCAGGGAGATCATGCAACATTTGCACTCTGAACTTGGGTCCAGAGATACCTTTGCAGCGCTGCGCTTTTTCAGGTACATGCTTGAGGGATCCTATAGGGAAAAATTTTACATGGAACTGTACAAACATGTTATCTTGCGCATACAGTCAAATCCTCGGCCACAGTTCTTTGCAGATGCACTGCGAGTTGGATCAGGGTTATCAGCAGCATCGGACATTGAAGATGCAGAAGGCCCCACAACCATGCATGGCACAACAGGGCAGTGATGTATCACTTCAGTATCCATGGCTACGTGATGGCTGTTGGCTGGTCCCTCAGGAACTGACAGGTTACCGCACCGAATGCACTGCAAGATTCTACAGCTATTCTGCACAGGATACATGGCACTGTGTGGATACCGACAGGTGCAAGCATGAACGATCGGTCCTTCTTCAGACCCACCGATACCACATGTGTTCAGGCTCAGCAAGCATATCGACTACTGCGTGGCTGTGCTATTCAGGGTTTGGACCTCAGTGGGAACGTGGCTCAGTTTCAATGCGAGAGTACCGCATGTTCTTCTTCCGTTGCATCTTGCTGTCGCTGCAGCGGAGGGCTTTCGCAATGCATGTGATGTTCTGCGGTAGATCACTTTATCAGTCTATCCCATTCATACAAGCTGTTGCGCTTCTTACTCAGACTACGACTTCTCACCCAGCGGTGTACAGCATTTCCTGTAATACTGTGCCACCCATAAACGAGATTTCTAGCAGAGTTCCTCCAATGTCAGATGTTTACACGCCGACCAATCCGGAACCGCGACCAGCCGGAGACTCCAGACTGCCTCTTCCGAGACGGCGAAATGATCGACATGTCTCTCCCGAAGCACCTGATGCTGTTCGGAATCCCATCTTGCGCAAGCGGAACTGCCTGCGGGAGCCGTTGCCGCGAAATAGGAGCAAGAAAGGTGTTCAACGCAGCTGGACTACAAATCGGATGCTGGACGTGGAGCCTGTAAGTTCCCTTTCAATTAAGGAAGTGCCACTCTTGAGTCAATATGGGGATCCTGAGATCGTGCTACCAATGTCTACAGAACTTGCACAGGCACACCCACGTGGAGCCAAATTAATGGAGATCGACCTAGGTCCCAGAAGGATGAGAATCATCGACATCAGCGACATTCCACGTGGTCCTGGTTCCTCGAGGGCTGCTGCCGGATCGGATGCACGGGTTGATCGACGTGCGGCGACTGCTGCCAAACCTAAACCTACGAGTGGCAATGGCACGAAGAAAGGTTCCAGTGTTCGCCTTCGACCTCGTCCCAAGTGGGAAGCTCGTCGAGTTGATGGTACACATTCTGGCCAAGGTTCCTGCTCGGGATCAGCCGCAGTTGATGGGTCCAAGCGGCATTCAAGGCGGCGATTCTTGAAAATCAGAGGCTCTTTGCGGGAAAGTATTCGTCGAGTTCAGAGTGATGTGAAACGTAGTACCCGTGTTCTTATTCCACCGGCGTACCGGAAGACTACATCGAGGCAGTCCAGGAATCCAGATGCGGATGATACACAGGACACTGCAGTTACGTTTCAGCCACTTCCAACGGGGGATGCAGCTGCTATATCTACTGGGTCCGTGGACCCCAATGCGGAGCGGGCCCACGAGGCGACTGACCCCTTAAAGGCTCGAGTGTTGTCCGACGAGCGTCGACGAGCGCTCCTATTGTGGCAGAAGGAGCAATTTATGCAACGAGCTGAGCTGATGCGACTGAAGGCCTTGAGTACCTCGTCAACGATAAGTGCTCCGACCGAGAGCGCGCCATCTGTTGCAGATACTGTACAGCAGACTGCGAATGTTCCGGAAGCGCCGCAGTCGGGGTCCGCATATACGAGATTGCTCATGCCAGTGCACAGCACAAGCCCTTTTCTTGCGTCCACCACTCATTCTTTGATTTCGCACTTTCAGGTCATTTACAATTCCATCGAAGCCGTGCGCGGTCCCAAGTCCGCGGTCCACGTTGTGCTGAGTTTCGCCTTGATTGAAGACAAGTTGTACAACGTGGATGGTGCGAGGGTTGTGGTGGTTGCCGAGGCCATCACTGAAGCCGCTCGTGAGTGCAGCACTTATGTATGTATCGCAAACCTACTTGGCAAACAGCGCGGCGATGTGCCGGTATTGCCCCAGGGTGCAGCTTGTACACTCAACTTTTGGCCACATTTGCATCATGATTCTCGAGCATTTGAATTCGCAGCATCTTACACTTTATCAGTTCATGTTATTCCGGGGTGTCGTGCCGCCCACAGGCACGCTCTCAATCATTCCAATTTCCCCAGATCACGCATGTGGAGATGGTGGAGGTTTCGCAGAGCGCCGGTTAGACGCTTCATTCGACGCAGGTCTCGATGGGACTCTTCACGAGATGGATTGGTCAGACAGGTCGGTGGACTTTTCACTCAGGTGTATAACGCTCTTGTGCACCCTATGAATCACCGGAACAGGATCAGTTCGAGATCTAGCCCGAGACGAAATGGTACACCTCGTCGTCTTATATGCAGACCATCCCTCAGCAAGTTTTATGCTCTAGTGTGGTACTTCAGCTTCTGTCTTCAACCTCAGGTCATTGGCGCCGCTCGATCATCGATTGACCCATTACAAGGCGCTGGCGGGCTACAGGATGCGTCTATCCCGTGGCAACGCAAAAGGGCGTACAACCGAGCATGTCGCAGGGCCCTACTACATGGTTCGACTACATACCGAGGCCGTCCTTTCCAACTTCCGGGTAGCATCTCTACACTATGTACCAACACAGGACTCCCAGCTCGAAGAAGACATGATACTCCCACCGTTGGTCGTCGACTCAGTGTGCTCACATGGAATTGTGGTGGTGCAAGTGCAGTCTACGATCAGTTTCTGTTATGGCTATTCCGATCAAAAACTGAGATTGCTGTGTTGGTGGAAACGAAGTGGACATTCACTAGTACTTGGACTGATCAACATTTCCACTATATTCATTCTGGGACCGGGACCAAGGGAGGAAGTGGTGGAGTTCTCGTGATTGTATCCCGTCAGTTGGTTAGTTCACATGCGCTGCGATTTCACGAGGTCAATCCTGGTCATCTGTTAAGGGTTTCGTTCACTCCACACGGATGTTCCAATGCCTACAACATTGTTGGTATATATCAACACGTGTGGAAGCCGGGCAACCTGTCTATCCGACATACGGTGTGGACTCAACTTTCCGGGCTGTGCCACTCCATTCCTAAACGCAGCTGTATGATCATTGCTGGTGATTGCAACGCTACATGCCAGCCTGAAGGACGTTTGGTTGGGTGCGGTGTGCCTAACTATTACGCCGCTGAGGATTCTACAGAGTTGCAAGATATCCTGCGCGCGCATGGACTTGTTGCATTGAACACGTTTGGAACTGCGCCTGGCTATACTTTCAAGTTCGGACCACGTACATCACAGCTTGACTATATCTTTACTCGTGTTGCTCATGCTGATCGCGATGCCAAACGTGCGCATGCTGATTACGAGTTCCCGGTGGGTCGCCATATCTCGGATGATGCTGCATATCATTTTCCTGTGAAGACTTGTGTGGCCCGAACTTGGCAAACACATTCCCATCGGGAACCTCGGACCAACATCGATGTTGCTGCTCTCTCTCAGCAAGTTCAAAAGGGTGAACTAGAACATTTTGCTGCTCTCAAAAATGTGGTCGGTGCTTGGAGTCAAGAATGCGAGATACCATGTGACCCTCAAGCTTGTTTGCAGCAGTTAAATCACTCTATGCTGACCACTGCAGTGTCTTTGTATCCGGCACGGCGTTCGACCTCATCAGTTCCATGGCAGAATCAACTCCAAACAGGTCGTGCGGCTCGTATGTGGGAGCTTTTTCGTAGGATGCGTTCGTTCCGGGGGACAGAACGGGGCATCTTTCGGGCTTGGAGATGCTGGTGTCTGTTCAGTCAATTGCATCGTGAACATGGCAAATACTGCAAAATATTACGCAAACAACGCATCACTGATGCTCTCGAGGAGGCCGAACATGCTGCGCAGCGACATGACACATGGACATTGTATCGCATTGTTCGTCGGCTAGCTCCTAAGACTCCTTCGAAAAAGTTTCAAATCAAGCCGAAAGGACAAATGCTGTCTCCACAGGAGGAACTGCAGGCTATGGTGAAGTACTACGAAGCCTTATACGACACTGCAAAAGCGCCTCAGGGTCAAGGCGAGCAGAGATTGTCCACCACTTTTCAGGTCAGTGAAGCTGAAATGCGGGCCTACCTTCAGCAGATACCCATGCGCAAGGCGGTGTCATCTGGTTCTGTGCCGGGTGTGGTTTATCGTATCTGCGAGCAGGAATTGGCCCCTGCTCTATGCAAGCTGCTTCGATATATGTGGAGTACTGAGCATCTCATCTTCCCACGCATATGGTGTATAGCCGAGCTCATATTTCTCCCAAAGCCAGGCAAGAAAACCTCAGAGGTGAAAGACTGGCGCCCTATTGGACTTCAGGATGCGGTTGCCAAGTCCGTGATGCATCTTTTGGTGGATCGTCTCAAGCCATATGTTCAGGACTGGGCGAACTCTTTTCCGCTATACGCCTATATGCCTGGAAGATCAACTCGACAGGCGCTGCAAGTTGTTTTCTCACACTGTGATGCTGTTAGGCATCTTTGTCAGCAAGAAGCTGATACGATACATCGTCGTTTTGAAGGATGGCGGCCATCGGAACTATGTGGCGGACTACAGGTATGCTTAGATCTCAGTTCCGCTTTTGATCGAGTGCCGTGGCATCACATCCGGGATGCCTTTACACAAGCGCAGGTGCCCCCAGATTTGGCTGCCATTCTATTAGGCTGGCTCAGTTGCTCCGAATACCAAATACACAATGGTGCGCATACCTCATGCCTACAGGTGGGACGCGGAGTAAAACAGGGATGCCGAGGATCGCCTACAATCTTTTTGGCGTTCATGACGCTTATATGTCAACGACTGAACGAAAAACTAGGCCCTCGATTCTGCCAGGAGCACTTGACACAATACGCGGATGACACGCATTCCGCGTGGACCTTTCACAGCTACGAGGAACTTCGCAAGTGTGTTTGGCAACTTTCTGTCATTATGGAAACCCTTGAGGAGTTTGGTATGTCCCTAAATGACGACAAGGCGCAAATTCTATTCACCGTGAGGGGTACTCTGAAGCAAAAGGCACGCAGCGTTTTCACCACCAAGGTTCGCAACAATCTGGTGTTTGTGATTGAGGGTGAGAAAGGCACTCGACATG